GGCATTCCTTGTCAGCTAGTCCCCCCAGGCTGCACGGTGGGAGGGGAGCAGGCTGACCGCAGTGTGCGTGGACAGACCAGGAGGCCCTGGGCCGTGCTGCTGCTCCGGGGACCTCACTCCTCTTCCCAGCAGCGCCTCGCAGCACCAAGGCACAGGGCGGGGGCAGGTAGGGCCCGGGCTGGGGCTGCCCGGTGCCCTGTGAAGTCTCTCCCTCCCCAAAGGTCTCCTTACCGGTGGTGACAAGCATTGCTCGGACTGGTCAGAATGTCTTTAGACAAAGTGACCCAAGATGCAAAGGAATATGGGTCATGGTCCTGGGCCAGCAGGCGTGAGCCGGGCAGGCGGGGACCGGCCACCTGTTGGCGCTGAGTCGGGGGCTCCGTCACTGCATGTCAGATAGGGAGGGGCGGAGGGGGGCGAGCCGAGACCCACAATGTCCCCTCCCTCTGCCACCCCTGCAGCCCTCGCCCCTCGTCCTGAGTCCAGGGCCCATCTACGCCGAGGACGGGGACCGGGCCATCAACCAGCGCATCATCTACAGCATCGTGCAGGGTGAGTGAGGGCCGGGCCTGCCAGCACGCCTGGGCCCCCCCCACCCCCGCCTTGGCTGAGCCAGCCGGGACCTGGACCTCAGGAGGGGCCAAGGCCGGACGCACCCACCTCTCCTCCAGGAAACGAGGACAGCATATTTGCCATCGACCCAGACTCGGGCAACCTAACCATGGCCAGGAGTGTCCCCAGCCCCAAGACCTTCGTCCTGCTGGTGAAGGTAGGCGTGAGCATGGGGTGGCCGGCAGGAGTCCCCAGCCAGGTCCCCGCCCACCCTTCCCAAGCCCCCATCCGCAGCAGCAGCCAGACCTTCAAGGACTTGCCGGTCACTGCTGCCTCCTCGCTGTCCCCAGGGAGAGCAGGCCGACCACGCCCGCTACTCGGTGACCCAGGTCACCGTGGAGGCCGGGAACGGGAGCCTGCTCCGCTTCCCCCAGAGCCTGTACCGTGGCCTTGTGGCGCTCGGCTCTGGGGTGGGTGTGGCCGTCCAGGATGCAGCCAACCCCTCGCAGCCTCTGAGGATCCAGGCTCAGGACCCAGAGTTCCCGGTGAGGAGCCCCTCGAAGGGCTGCCCAGGGACCCCACAGCTTCCCGCTGGCCCCTGAGTCTGCCGGGCACCCCCTCTGTGGGGCGGTTTGGGAGGCCAGGGACAGCCTCAGCCCAGAACTCATGAGCATTGTGCCCAGGACCTCACCTCAGCCATCACATACCGGATCACCAACCACTCAGACTTCCAGATGGCTGGCGAGGCCGTGCTGACGGCAGTCGAGCTGATGCAGGAGGGGGTCTTCTACGCAGAGGTGCAGGGCAGGGGGCCAGGCCTCTCCTGGGGGGTGGCCAAAGAGGACCCTGGAAGGGACGAGCCCCTTTCCTGCCTCAGGTTGAAGCCAAGAACACGATGACTCTGGGCACAGCGACCACCGTTGCTGAGATACGAGTCTCAGCACAGGAGCAGCCCCCAGGTTGGTCTCTGGGGGTCCCAGGGAGCCCCCGTGGGGTCTGCCGGGTGGGTGGCTCCTTCCCAGGGCAGGGACACGGGGCAGAGGCAAGCCCAGGTACTGTCCCGGCCTCTAGGTCCCTCCACGTCTCCGGACACTGGAGGAACACCTCGGCCACCCAGCAGCTCCACTTCAGCCCCTGGACCCTCTCAGGCGCCCTCCACCACCTCTGGGGGGACTGCTGGCCCGCCTCCTGGCTTGTCCACACCCGTGGGCCCCCCCCAAGGAGGAACCAGCACCTCCCCCCAACCATCCACACCTGGTGGGGGCTCAACACAGACCCCGCAGCCAGGAACCTCTCAACCGAAGCCCCCCACTTTAGGAACCAGCACCTCCCCCCAACCATCCACACCTGGTGGGGGCTCAACACAGACCCCGCAGCCAGGAACCTCTCAACCGAAGCCCCCCACTTTAGGAACCAGCACCTCCCCCCAACCATCCACACCTGGTGGGGGCTCAACACAGACCCCGCAGCCAGGAACCTCTCAACCGAAGCCCCCCACTTTAGGAACCAGCACCTCCCCCCAACCATCCACACCTGGTGGGGGCTCAACACAGACCCCGCAGCCAGGAACCTCTCAACCGAAGCCCCCCACTTTAGGAACCAGCACCTCCCCCCAACCATCCACACCTGGTGGGGGCTCAACACAGACCCCGCAGCCAGGAACCTCTCAGCCGAAGCCCCCCACTTTAGGAACCAGCACCTCCCTGTCCTCAGGTACTCACCCTCACCCTCACTGACTCAGGACTGAGTGCACAGGGGACACTGTGGGCCAGGGGCCATCCCAGGTGGGCCGACCCGATCTCCTAGACCCTGAAATCCCACAGAGGCTGCCTGCCTCGTCTGATGCAGACTGACAGCAGGGCTGCCCCCCACGAGGACACCAGTGGAAGTGTGCAGAAGGCAGGACAGGCCAGGCTCAAGTCCAGGCCTCCCCGGC